AGTCGGTCAGAATAGTTTCAACTATGCTAACAAAACTTACACTACCCCAAAGCAACTGTTTTATTTCTTAGCTTTCCTAGACTCCTAGCACTAGAGGGGCACTAGATCTCTTTTCAACTTTGAATATGATGATGGCGGCATATGTGCAAAAGTGCTTGACACACTGGAGGAATGTATGGATTGTGATAAGAGATGTCAGAGCCCCCAATAAAAGTATTGGGTTCTTTGTTAAAATTCCATTTTCTTGTAAATGATTTTATTTATTATTATTTTTGAACTACATGAAAGTCTAAATTGAAGTAATCCATTAATGATTTTATCTATAAAATTTTATTAAAATAATTTTTCAATTTTATATATTCAAATGTTATTATTTTTTCCCTAAGAGTAGAACCTTTGTTTTGGGTTTACGACTTTTATATTTATGCAGTATTCAGATAATATCATAAAGCAATTTTTATTTTAATTATAAAATATATATCAGTTTAATTCCTGCAGTATTTTGTTTAAAATTTAAAAGTAACAACGACTTTGTCAATAAACGGTGAAAGGTCTGGGAGAGGAGGATAAAGAAAGCCCTCGGTGTCTGGATGTGGGAGGCCTGTCATGAGAGTGGTGAAAGACGTCATGCAGCATTTGTCAGCTTACCAGAGGGCTACTGGACTAATGGAATCTAGAGATTTAAAAATGAAGTAAATCCAAAGCAGGTACTTGGTTGTTTTTCAAGTTGAGAATGAAAGATTTTGGTGAGAAAAATTCTGGAAAGGGAAGTGGGCTTCATGAAGGGATAGACATGCTGGCTTTGATTTTGGGCTTCAGAGTCCGGTTGAACTAAATGACAAAGGCACGAATCGGTGTTTGCAGCCACGCTACGTTGAGATGTGCTTTGCATAGTGCCTCACAGCAGACTACCTGCACTAGTAAAAGGCAGCTCACCTTTTTACGTTTCATTCCTAAATGATGTCATGCTGTTTTGACTAGACTATACTGCAAGGAAGGCCCTGGTGATGCAGCGATCAAAGTGCTCAACTGCCAGCTGCAATTTAAGGATGTTTTAACCCACCAGCTCCTCAGTGGGAGAAAAATGTGGCAATCTGTTTTTCTAATGATGACAAGTTGGAAACGCTAAGGGGCAATTCTGCTTATTCCTACAGAGTCCCTTTGAATCAACTGCCTTGAAAGTACACAGTAACAAGTAGGAGAGAAAACTTTGGGCTACCAGTTTACACATTCAATTAAATACAAAGATAATGGCTGAACCAGACTTTTTCTATAATTCTATATATTTCCTGCCCTCCTCCTGATCTCTGACTTGTCCCACTCATATTTTTCATTTTCAGTGGAAATAGAAATATGACCATAGGTGCTAACTTAAGACTCGTAGATCCCATCCCAGATCCAGATTTCTTTTAACTTTGTGACTTATGATGATACATTTAGACACAGACTTTAGAAATAATTGTACAATATGGTTTCATATGACCCTGAAATGGGCATTCAGATATAACAATTGGCATGGGAGAAGAAATGTGAACTCAGACATAACTCCTGTCCTAAATAGTTAAGAAAGTTGATGCTTCTATAATACACCCAAGCCCATCAATAGATGACACATGGCATCACATACAGACAATATTCATTAATAAATAATGTAAGGGGTAGCTTCTGGGGCTTTGGGTCAATTCTGTACTTGAGTTCTGTTTATTATACTTGTATTTTGCATGGTTCTACCTTCTTGATAGTCAGAATCATTTTCACAATGTCAGAATCAACTTGACATCAACTAACAGTTTATCAAATGTTTAAAAAAGTCATGCAAACAGAAAAACCCTTAAAATATGTCATTTCCTCATGACAATAATGGGTTTATGTTTGAATAGCATAATATAAGTGGCAAACATATTTGACTTCCAGGTGCACCTTCAGTGAAAAGTTCTAATATATGGGTGGGGGGAACCCTGTGGATTCAAAGAGGATCTTAAAGAAAGTAGACACTTCAAGAAAGGCCAATGCAAAAGATGGGGAATATGAGTAAAAAAGAAAAATCAATAATCCTCCAGACTCGGATATCCTGAAGTTTCAAATTTTTGTTTTATATATATATTTTAATTTAGGTACACTGCAATGCATTTTATTATGCATTTCTATGTGTCTTGGGTATTATCTTCCTATAGTTTTTCATAAGTTCTCATTCAATATGATCATCTAGCACAGAAATATGGGTCTCTCCCATTTAGTTGGCCCAGTATCTGTCTTCCAAATTTCTTGACATTGTAGATTAAGTGTTTCCAACATGTCCTCTGTTTATGGAAACTTCTCAATTGATCCTATCTTCCTGGTGCCTTCTTTTTAACTAACATCTTACGTGCTCCTTGAAATTCTTCTTTCAGTGTCAGTTTTTGATCATATGCTAGCACCTGAAGTGGATTCATGACTTCGGTTTTGAAACTTGAGTCTTCAATACCCCTTTCAATCTGAGATGTCAACTGTAATTTTCTTCAGATGAAACTTGAGCCTGCACACCAGTAATTGATAATTTAGCTCATCACCGGCCAGTTTTTTTGTTCTGACTGATAATGTTGAATGCTCCATCTTCTTTTCCCACACATTCCGTAAATTTTATTCCTGTGTAGTCCATCTGGAAAGATTCAAGTGTATAATAGTTGTCTATGTAGTTGGAGATACATTATTTCTTGGAAATAAGCTATTGAACATGCGGCATTCTGTTGTGTGATTTCTAGAATTAATTCTATCATCAAGACCCTATTTTCTAATTAACTCTTCAATGCTTACAATTATCACATTCCAACCAGAAGTAATTTTCAATATCTCTAATTGCATGTTCAGTCAATCTCAGGCTGTAGTAGTTCATAAAAATATTAACTTTCTTCATCGTTGGTATATATGGTTGGTAAATAAATCTTAGTAATAGTCATATTCATTAGTTATTCTTGTAGGCCTATAGGTAGTTTTCTATTATGTCCAGGTTGTATTTGAGGATAGATCTTGAATGCTCTTTTGACAGTGAATGACACACTGCTTCTCTATGAATTGTCATTCCCTGCATAGACCATATGAATGGTTGGATTGAAAATGACTAATAGTAGTCCATTTCAGCTCACTAAGACCCAGGATCTTCCACCAAAAATCCTATAAATCTTCAATTGTTCTATTTAATCTTAAAACGTTATTTATTTATTATCAATACTATAGAAAGCAAAGCACACAATGATTGAATAGCTTTACATGTACAATTTAGTGATTTGATTACATTTTTGAGCTGTGCTGGACTATTCTCACCCATCTTTTCTGAGTTGCTCCTACAAATTGATAAAAACTCATTGCTTCCTAGTTTTAGATCTAATCTTCTGAGTTTCTAATTTCAATGTGATCTCATATAGACAGTTTTTAAAGAGCATTATCATCAAGGCAGACATCATTTACTAGTTAAGCTTAACTAATTGTTAAGGAGTTCTGGTGATGTAGTAGTGGCTTTTGCCCTGAGTTGTTAACTGTAAGGTCAACAGTTTGCACCCTCCAGCTACTCCACAGAAAAAACATGAGGCTATCTGTGCCTGCAAAGATATAAAGTCTCAGAACTCCAAAGGGACAGCTCTGCACTAGCTTATAGGGGCACCATGAGTTGAATCAACTCAATGGGTGTGTTTTTCTTGTCTTGTCTTTCTTAATTTGGGTTTAAGAAGATATCACCCATTTGGGACCTAAAAATGAGGTGCCACCCTAGAGTACCAGAAGAGAATGATTGGTTTCAATCACTGAAAGTAAAAATTTAAAAAACTCTTGGCTTGCTTAACCGCTTTTCTCTGATTTCTCTCTTGTGCCAGGGACACACTTTGATGGAGATTTCAGAGCTATGAGATAACAGATGTCTGGTTTTATAAGTTCCTCAGTTCATGGTATTTTATTAGAGTAGGCCTAGAAAACTAATAGAAAGGTAGAAAAACATTTATGTTCAATATAATACTTGCTATTTAAAGATATGCCAATTTTTTGTTATAAAAGAGAAGTTGCATATTATTTTAATGTGTCTAAGTATTCCTTATTTCCTATAAAATCATTGTACTTCCCATGAATAAATTAGGTCCTAAAATATTGCTTTTTTTTAAGTGAATGGGATCACCCACACATTGCTGCTCTCTTCCCTTAACCCTGCTGCCCAAGGTTGTTCTCCTCAAGTAAATTGGATCTCTTTCTCCTTCTGCTTTCCTGATGGTTCTTATTGAACTCTAACATCTGAATAACAGTATAATAATGAAGAGATGCTTTACTGAATTCAAATAAGTTAATAGATATGACAGGTAGAAGGTGGGTGCAGAAATTTCATTGGGCTTATATGTTCTCAGAGAATTTCAGTTATGGTGTGAATTCTAATAAGATTATTAACCCAAACATCCTGCATGCTGCTACTTCCATTACTGAGTGCTTGTGAGGATTTGCCATATCTGAAAGGAGAGTGAGGACGTAGTGAATAAGTACATTGAACACACATTGTGTTACAGAATTCTGCTTCAGACCATCCTATCCCAAACACAAGTCCACTCTGCCATCAGTCGATGCTGGCTCATAGTGACCCTATAGGACAGGGTAGAACTGCCCTTTCAGTTTCTGGGATTGTGTTTACGGGTATATAAAGCTCTCTGTCTTTCTCCCAACCATCCTATGAGGTGTATATTATTAAATTCTCAACTGAAGGGAAAACAGATAAGTTTAAATGTATCCTCCCTTTACACAATTCATACAGAACCCACCTTCTCAGATCTGCTTAATCCCTGGCCCACGATTTCCAACCATTCCAAAAACTAAGCTCCCTCCTATCAAGTGGATGCCAGCTCATAGTGACCTTATAGAGCAGGTTAGAGCTGCCTCCATTGAGTTTCTGAGACTGGGAATTTTTAGGGGAGTATTAAGTAAGTGATGTAATCTCACTGAGATTAATTAACTCTTAATTTCTTTCGCAGGTAACAATTATAAATTGAGCCATGTATTCATGGAAAGAAACTTCAGATAATCAAACTACAAGGGCCAATTTCATCCTTACTGGGCTCTTCGAACAAACTAAATATGCAGCCTTCCTCTACACCCTAATATTTGTCTTTTTCTTGATGGCCCTTACTGGGAATGTACTTCTCATCCTGCTGATCCACAAAGAACCCCGTCTCCATACTCCAATGTACTTCTTCATCAACCAGCTTTCCCTCATGGACCTCATGTACATATGTGTGACTGTACCTAAGATGCTCGTGGGTCAGGTCACAGGAGATAACACCATCTCTCCCGTAGGGTGTGGGGTTCAGATGTTTACACATCTGACTCTCGCTGGAGCTGAGTTTTCTCTCCTGGGTGTCATGGCTTATGATCGATACGCAGCCATTTGTAGACCTCTCCACTATCCACTGCTCATGAAGCCAAGAATCTGCCAAATCCTTGTGTCTGGATGCTGGTTCTTGGGGATGTTTGATGGTTTTGTGTTTTCCCCTCTGACCATGAGTTTCCCCTATTGCCACTCAAAGAAAATCCTGAACTTCTTTTGTGAGGCCCCAGCCCTGCTGAAGCTCTCCTGTTCTGACATTTCCCTGTATGAAATGCTCATGTACGTGTGCTGTTTTCTCATGCTCCTCATTCCCCTCTCCATCATCTCCACCTCATACGGCTTCATCTTGCTCCTCATCCACAGGATGAACTCAGCCAAGGGACACAAAAAAGCCCTTGCGACCTGCTCTTCACACATGGTGGTTGTGCTACTCTTTTTCAGTGCCTCGATCTATAACTACATGCTACCCAGATCCTACCACACAGCTAAGCAGGACATGAGGGTGTCTGCCTTTTACACCATCATCACCCCTGTGCTGAACCCTCTCATTTACAGCCTCCGGAACAAAGATGTCCTAGGAGCGTTAAGGAACATGATGCCATCAGGAAGAAGACTAAGAAAGGTTGTAAATGAGAAAACCTAGAAATAGCTCTCTTCCTCTTCTCTCTCCTCATCTTCCTTATCTCTCCTCTTATTCTGTCCCAGCTGTTTCTTGCTCGCCAACACTGATTCTGTTAAGATCCTCCCCCCTACTTCCTGCACATGTGATAAGACACCCTGGAGATGTAGTGGGTTACATGTTCGGCTGCTACCTTTAAGGGCAGTAGTTTGAACCTATCCATTGCGCCATGGTAGAAAGATGAAGTTTCTGCTTTTCTGAAGATTTACAGCCTCAGAAAGACACAGGGTCAGATCCCTTTGGATCGCTAGGATGATGACCTGGATGTCAATGAGTGTGGTTTGAGTTGAGATGCATGTGATAATTCGCTCCACTGCGTATGTGCCCCACTTTATGCTTTATATTCAAGTTCCTCAGAATCATTTTATCTGTTAAGTGGCATAAATTAAGCCATAGCAAGTGGCTTATCTGCTATGATAACTTTATTGATTGGTTTATATGAGAGTTGGAAGGGCACACTTTTACACTAAAAGTGATACTCTGTGAAGATTTCTGATTCTAATGGAATCCTGGTCTTTCAGTTTTAGAAAACCTTAAGTTTTCATGTTTCAGTCACTGCACATCTGTAGTTTCATGTTTAGTAGGGAGATCTGAACACAGTTTTTTCTATGCATTGAAGGTTAGATCACAGAGAAAACATTACGCTTTCAGTAATATTAGTCTCCAGAACAATCTGGAATGAAATCAATCTGACATTATAGTTACACAAATTAATAAGTCATCAAATGTCACAGATTATAAAGCTATATATATAAATGACTGCACATTTATGACCATTTAGGCTTTAAAATACAGAGCTTATGAGTTTTAGTGGTATAGTAAGCATTAGTCTGAACTTTTTTACTTCTAAGTATGAAAAGATAGAATTATTCTGGATATATGATCATGCTGTAAATCTACCGGTACTGTCAATATCATGAAGTCATTTTTATTTTCACTGAAACAATTCATAAGAATAGAATTGGGGTATAAATTTGTTCAAATCAGTATGAAGATGATGACTCAAAGCCATCATATTATTACTGCTTGTAACAAATCCTCACCTTATCATATTTACTATCAATAGCTCGCACCTAGTTTCTTTCTCTCTCTCTCTCCCTCCTTTCTTTCTTTTCTGTCTGCTGTAGTTTCTGTTGATGGGAAGTTATGCTCCTGGCCTTACAGTCCATTATTTTGCTTCTCAAATGATTCTTATACTATAGTGGGTCAAGGGATTTTTTTTCATTTGTTTGTTTTTGAAATGACTCCACTAAGCAGACAAATTAGTATTAGATGAAAAATAGAATAAGTTTGCCTACTTCTACCTGTAACTTAATTTTTAAAAACTTACTTAAAGTAAGTGTGTTAAAGAAGCAAATGTGTCTAAAGTGGAACTATTAATGACACACTAATTAAATGATGTTAGTTTTCCTTGTTATTAAATTATTAATATGATTAATTTCATGTAGTATCTTATCATAGTCCTTATACATATTTAATACTGGCATGTAGATTTTTCTGTGTCTACTCTCATGATCACTATATTCAGAAAAATGGAAACATGGAGTTTAAGGTTATCAGTATCAATAGAAATGGAGGTAGTTTTGTTAAAATAGAATATTTGTAAAAGGTTTACATCTAAACTTGGGTTTCAATCTTAATAGGTACTTAAGATTGAATATTTATAAATTTGCCGAAGCTCATCATGTTGCCCCTTCTATAACTTTTAAGAATAGGAAAACAAAATGCCCTAACGTCATTGCTCTTAGGAATAGCTGCTATTACATGCTCAACCACCCATACCTGCAAGAACTAGGAAGGCATCACTTTATATCCTTCCTCTGTACCACTCGGAGCGACTTGCATGACCTACAAAGGCACTTGCTTTGCTATAATAAGAGCTTTGGTGATAACAGAGATAGTGGCCTGAATCCTACATTTCCTCTCAGAAATTCAATGAAAGAATTATTTTATCTCACTGGCACCCTGGCTTCTCTCTCCAGAACTAGAAAGATAAACATCATGTTGGTGCTTTGAATTTTACCTCAATTTAAGGTTAAATTCAAGAGCCTGATGATCGTAAGATACTAGAAAACTGTTCATCTCTTGTGCCTTCCTCCTATGTGTGGAAACTAGGGGCTAAGCAGATAAAATGATTTGTTTAAGAAACATGACCAAGTTTCATTCATCTAATTACTTTCCTTTTCATAAATCATTTGTTGCTCTACTCCCATTACTGTTGACCATAACTCTGATTTGACAGTTTTTGTGTGCATACCAAGCTAAATGAGAAATTCTGTTGTCTTGAAAGTTTGCTTCTGAAATAATGCTTTCAAATTAAGAACTAAATTTAATCAGTATTTTAACAAATAACATTAAAATGTGCATATCTACCATTAATATTAATTATATAAAATACTTAAGAAAGTTGACTTAGTTTATTGTGCCAACCTGGCTGATAAACACATGTGGGGTTAATTGAAGGGCAGAGCAATAAATGGCTTGGTTAGCCTCACCTTTCTAGTTCTTGGGTCTCTTGCTTTCTGATGGTCGGGACAGGGTGCAGCAGCCTTATCCAGTTCCCTGCTTCAGCTGGAAAGATTCACTTCCTGCAAGACATCCCAAAGGAGAAACCGCATGGACCTACCCCAATGCAGCCCTTGGTGCTGGAGCAACCGTGTGGAGACCCTTGCCAGTGCTGAGAGGCTTACACATTCACTGATTCGGCTTTCCTAGTGTGTGTTTTGTGAGATAGAGGAGGACTTTGTGGATTGGCGTCAGACATATGGGTTAATGTTGGACTTGAGGGCTTGGACAGTACTGGGTTGGGTGTTTTCTTGATGTGCACTTAACCTTTACATAAAACTCTCTCTTATACATGAGTTTCTGTGGATTTGTTTCTCTAAAGTACCCAAAGTAACACCAAAGCCTTTTATTTATTTGATCTCACTTGAGATACAAGGAAATGCATACTAACATCTATTTCTATATCCTAAGAGGGAATCTGTGTGACACAATCATTAAACATGGACCTACTAACCAAAAGGTAGGCAGTTCAAAGTTACACAGATGTGCTTTGAAGATAGGTCAAAAGATCTACCCCAGAAAGGTCACAACCTTCAAGTCTTGTGGAGCCATTCTGCTCAACACACAACTCCACAGCCGCTATCAACAACATAGCCCAAAGAGCGAATTTGCAGGTGTAATCAACCAACTCTGTTCATAGATTTAGTGCTGTAAGTGCTAGTTAAAACTTGAATTGTAGGATTTAATTCCTTCTCCACTATTCTGTCTTATTACTTTCTTTTCTCTACATTATATATTACCAACAACATTGTTCTTAAGTTTTAAAGCTTAACTAAATTATTAGAGCTCTGTGTAGTTCTATTCATCTTAATTTCCAGGGTAATTATTATTATTATTATTAAAACATTTGCTAATTCCACAAACGTACTGTATCTTTAAGTATAAAATCAGAGACAGTGATGTGCATAAATAGAGCAAATTAAGGTGGAGGCATAACTGCATTTTAAAGACTTCGTGTAAGTCTAGACTCCTTGTTGAATTTTAAAGTTTCTTTTACAGCATCAACTCTTCTAACCTTCAGGCTAACAACCATTTGCCACAAAGGACTTAACCAGATGCCACCAGGAGACCTTGTTTTTCTGTGAAGTTAGACAGGTGCAGGATATCACAGTACTACATTCTCAGAGAATCTTTCATATATGGTCACACTGATAGAGGGGTGAAAGAATTAGCCTGTTGTTAATCAAAATACTAGCTAACTAATATAATTTAAGACTTAGTTTGCTAAAAATCCAAAATGTAGCAATCCCCTCACTTCCAGTAAAATTTCCTATTAAGCTTAATCAGTAGGCATGTTCTAACTCAGGAAGGAGGGACACAAGGTCATTGAGATAAACAATGGAATGTGAGGCCTCAGGTGATGGTGGTCTGATAACCCTTGGAAGCATTTAGATATCAATTGGTGATCTGATAACCCCATACGGAAATGTAGATTGTTTCCTGTGAAAACCTGAATCTTCTGCCATATTGTTTGAGGTCCTGTGATCATTGCAAAACCTACTAATAGTTTCCTGAGATCATTTCAAAACCTTTTTTAAATCACATAGTTGTTTAAAGTATACCGCTTGCTTGATTTCCTCTGATTCTTGGAAGCATTTTGGAGGTAACAAACCTCACTGTTGCCTTCGATTTTGCACTTACAGAAATAAACTTAGGGATTCTTGAATCAGCCTGGTCCTAGTGAAAAGTAACCCTGGACCTTTATTTCTGGCATCAAACATATGTAAGATGCTGTAGCAAGTGTGTGGAAGATGGCAACTGTTGTGACAGGTTATTGAAATTAGGAAACTGTCATTCACATGGAAGCATTATAGTTCTTCGGAGCCATTATGATCTCAAAAGGAAAGGAGAATGATACAGATTCACTGGCTGAGGTGTTTTGAGGTGCATCGAAGTGGTCCAAGCCGTGGCTTACCTTAACATGTCCTTGAAGTACCATGGCATGGATTAAAAGGAAATTTGGTGAGTGGCTACAACCTAAATGATTCACTAGGAAAGTGATGCGGAATTACTTAAAGGAGAGAGGGGATCAAACAGTATTCTTTATGCAGAAGTTGCACAGAAGTCATAATGGAATGAAAAAAGGTTTTTTTGTTTTGTTTTTGCCCTACTCCTTGTGTGTACCTTATGGGCAGTGAATGGAAGAAAGAAAAAAAAAAGAACAAATGGAACATGATGGTTGTTTGCAACAAGAGTCTCAACCATGTGCATTTATTGGAATAGGAAGTAGTGACCAAGAAATGCAGCAGATGAACTTGGGAAGAAAGAACGATTGCACAGCCAAAACATTGTACATATCTAATGCCCGCAAGAGAAAGCGTTTCATGTTATCTGTGAAGATGATCTATAGCAGCGGTTCTCAACCTGTGGGTCGTGACCCCTTTAGTGGTCAGGCGACC